TTACTTTCTCAATGTACATGTATATGGAGAGCTACTAGAGATGTGTTTATGGAAGATTTCATCTACCTATGCCGTGAAGGTCTAAATCAAAGCACTGAAAGTACTGGAGTGTCGATTGTGTTGTGAAATATATAACCTTTCACAGCCTGAGTATGTTTATTGATTACGCCATTTATTTTCGTTGCAGATAATGTACAGTTTGATGTTTATTCAAATATTTTAGTTCTATTAGACCTATCTCTAAAAAGAAGAAAACCAGATCTAGATGACATAAATTATAGGTTTTTACAGCAAAAGTGTGCCTTAAGAAAGATATTGGCACACTTATTAAAATATTGGCCCAAAGTTAATGCCGTTCAAGTATACCGGTATTGTCTTAATGAACACTTGCCCTGTATCATAACCTTTTTATTGCATTTGCAGCAATGCTGCCCTGTATTTTAATCTTATCAAAATCTGAGACTTGGGCAGCCCTTATACTCCATATGGGATCACATGGCCCCACCTGGGCGGCCCATGTACTCAATATGGGCCCCATATGGGCAGCCCTTGTACTAAATATGGGTTTCAAATGGGCAGCCCAGATACTTCGATTATGGGTAGATTTTGAATTCCGGGATAGATCTATTTTCAAGTACTTCAATTATAAGTTTGCTGGACGTTAAGTTGCAACTGGCTTAATTCTTGTACTTGCATTAAATATTCAAGTGATGTTTTAACTGGAACAGACAGATTATAGCATAAAGCCTTTATTATCTTGCAAGAAAACAACACACAATGTATATGCTTTAACAATGTTAACTTTATTTAGTAATCTCAATTATGGTAAGAGTGTATCATATATATACAGATTCTCAAAGACACAACTGCAAACCTACTCCCATGTCTTTTTAAATTTCTACATAATTCATAGGAAAGTATTATACATTTATTGTAATTCATTACAAATTTCTATCTACCAATTACTTTCATTTTCACATGAAATAGTATCTATGTTTTATATGATATTTAAATTTTCAGTTTTCTTTGTATTGGACAAATGAAATAGATCTACATGAATAAATATAAAAATTTGTTCATTACAACCATATATTACACTTTGGTATGATAGTGCTGAAGAAAAAAATATTATACAGCTTTTGAAATGTAACAAATATAATAAAACAAAACCTTGGCACAGTTGTAATACTGTTCATAGATGTGTAAACAAAATATACAGCTGATGAAAAGTAACAAATAGTTTGTACCAGTTTGTAAAAATAACCAGATTCATTTCTCATATCTTCATCAACAAAAACCACAATAAAGGCAAGAAATAACAAAAGTATTTACAATTTAATGCATTTCAATTGTTAATATCAATAGTTATAGTAACCTTTTGTGAAACGTTACTGTTTGGATCAGTTTTCTATGTGCTAATACATCATTCTCAATAAGAATTTCATTAATCTTTTATCAATTTTCAATGGTTTATGGAAGTTAACGTTGAATTATATCCTGACTCACTAGCGACTTTGTGAAAAAAATTATCGAATTTGATAACTATATAAATATCAAAAAAGTTAACCAAGTATACTGAAATTCGGAAAAAAAATATGACAACAACGTCAATAAAATGACTTCATCTTTGCGATGCTTCCTGATAAAAAGTTTCTCGCATATTTCAACCTTTTATTGAAAGGAACCAAACATTAGTGGAGTTTTAGACATAAAGTAAACACATACATGTATACTGTATCAATGTAAATATCATGATAAGTTCACTTCTGAATACCAAAAGTTGTTATTTTCACTCATGGCTGCGCCACTTTGTGAACAACATGGCTGCGCCACTTTGTGAACAACACTTTAGGTATCCACTCTGTGAAATTAATTATAAATAAAATGTGATATTACACCGAAATTAACAATTATCCTATATATCACAGAACAGTAATTAATTATGGATATATTCCTTTAAACAAGGGTGCCATAGTCACAAAATACGCCCGTTTACGAAAAAGCTTTAGATGGAGATGGGGGCATTATGGATAAGTGTTATCTATGAACCTTAAAACAAATCAATAGGGAAGATATGCACAGAATGTGTGACCTTGACCTTGGTTGCAGGGACCTGAATTTTATGCACGGCACTCAGCCTCACAATGATGAACATTTGTGCCAAATTATATTGAAATCCCTCTATGCATGTAGAAGTTTTGCTCCAGACAAGTGTTTTTCTATGAGCTCTAACTGTGACCTTCACCTTTGACCCTGGATCATGCATGGAGCAATACATATCATGGTGGTGAACATTTCCATAAAGTATTATAAAAATTCTTCCATACATGTATGAGATATGCTCCAGACAAAATCTGGATATTTCACCATCTTTAGTGACCTTGACCTTGCATATATTGACCTAAAGTACATGTGTCACAGCCGTAGTCATTATAATGACCATTTGTGTTACAATCCCTCAATAAATGATGATTAAATCGTCCCTATACACATCTTCATATTTTTATCTTTTTTTAAACGGGCGTATAAAAAGTACATGTAATTTAATAACTAAAAAATTCTGATTTAAGATTTTATTCTAGGGAAATACATTTCATTACAATTCTTAATCTTTGAATGAGCTGAACTGATATTTACTTGAAAATTAAAATATAATTAAATTTCTATGAGAAAGTATTTACATTTGATAAGGTAATTACTGTATGATCTTTATGAACAAATACCAAGTCTACAGAACACCATAGTTATCACAGTTAAGAATCTTGACCAATGAATGAAACATGTGTAAATAAATGTTACATTCTTTACAACATACTCAAGTCCAAGAAAGAGGATTATTTCATGCCCTTTGATTAAATTCTATTTTTAGATCAAGGGGAGTAATTGTGTAAGTCATTTATGAACAAAGTAATAACTTTGTTGTCTCCCTTTGATTAAATTCTATTTACAAAATCTGGATATTTCATCATCTTTAGTGACCTTGACCTTGTATATATTGACCTAAATTATATGTATCACAGAAATAGTCTTGATAATGACCATTTGTGTTACAATCCCTCAATTAATGATGACTAAATGGTCCATATACACATCTTCATATTTTTATCTGAACTTTGACCTCTATGTGTGACCTTGACCTTGGCCGCAAGGACCTGAATCTTGCACGCGACACTCCGCCTCACAATGGTGAACATTTGTGCCAAGTAATATTGAAATCCCTCTATACATGTTGAAGTTTTGCTCCGGACAAGCATTTTTCAATGAGCTCTAAGTGTGACCTTGACCTTTGACCTAGAGACCTGGTTCATGTGCGCGACACTGCTCCTCATAGTGGTGAACATTTATATGAAGTTTCATTAAAATCCCTCCATACATGTAGGAGATATGCTCCGGACAAAATTGGACGCCGCCCGCCCGCCGCCCGCGCCCGCCCGCCCGCCAGGGGCGTTCCCATAATACGTCCCGTTTTTCAAACGGGCGTATAAAAATGTGAAATAATACTGATTTAACAAGATCAAATTTGTTGTGAAGAAGTTCATTTAAAAAATTGTCAGTAAAAATAGTTGTTTCAGTAATTTATCCGATATTATCAAAGTTTCAACAATAACAAAAATAAAGATTACAAGAAGCATCATTGTACAGTATTTCAACTTGATTTAAAAGGTTAATACCATACCTATATATGTGTTCCCTGTTAGTGTTAAGTTTGGACAAGATGTTATAATTGTATTGATCAGTATCAAAAACATTCCCCAAGCATTTAATGTCTTGATTTAAATAGCAACAATGTTTAATGAAAAAAAATAACAAAACAGCATATAGACAACAGAAAAACAGCATATAATGTCAACAACAAACATTACATAGCAGCAAAATAAACTGACTAGAAGGCAAAGAAATTTTTCATTTACAAGAAAGACATGCTATGCTGATGACCTCAAAACATTAAAAATTAGCAACAAAAAGTATAACAAGACACACAAATGAGCCACTTACTGTAGTTCTGACCCTTATCACATTTTAAAAAACTTTGATATCTATTGACTTTCAATCATTGGAATAACTTATATGCCGATGAAGAAAAGGTTCGAAAATGTAAAATAAAAGTCATTCATTTTATGCTTTTGTGTGTATTACTGATGTATCCGTGAAAATTATATTTGATAATTTCACAGTGAAAATGATCCAAATTTCAAACTTTTCAATGACAAGACTACTTTTTAAAGATTTTCCTCATGTGGTACCTTAATATCATTTTTGCTTACAATTCTGACATTCTCAGGACTGTTTCAAGACTAACCTATCCGAATAATATTCCTCTGAATAAAACAAAATTAATTTTCCTTAAAATACAAAACTTTTAAAAATGGCCACCACTTACATTTCACAAAGCCAGGTCATACATAAATTGCCTGAGTAACAGAAATAAGGTGGGATGGTGTGACTTTTTTTTTCTAGAATTGGTTGTTTTTATTAATAAAACAAGCGATTATTCATATTTTTTTAATAAAATAAATAAAATCATTGCTATTCAACGTTGATTGTCAAACTTTTTGTTAAGCCCAAGACTCCTGTATTTATGAATAATTGACTTAAATTCAACTAAAATTGATGTTAACAGTGGGGAAAACAGATTTAATATTAAAGTTAATATTGAGGAAATTTTCATTAGCATAAAATAAAAAGACACTTTATTGTTTGTTGTGTAAGATGTAATTTTATATCATTGAGGGACTTTTAAATAACAGTGTTCTCACTCGTGAGAATAATGTTTTTACAGCTCACTTGATGATATAAAATTTCATCTTACACACTAACAAACAAATATCCTCCATAGATTTTGCATTTTTTAAAAATAAAAACATGTCTAGTCACTTCCTTCATTTGCTTCAAGTAAGGTCTCGGACACTTTGTTTCTTGCTTTTCCTTCCCCATCGCCGGTCCCACGCCCCAGCCAGCCACTTTGAAACCTTTATTTCAATATCCTTCCTCGTTCGCAGTTCTTTGTCGGCAAGTTCCTTTGGACACATTCTATAAACAAGCATCCTTATCCTTAAAGAATGAAATGAAATGCAGTGAAATGTAGGTATTGAAACCATTCAAAGGTCATAAGTCACCTTGTAGCATTTTGAGCACAAAATTGGAATATAAACTAATTCAAGTATGTTTTAACAAATATAATGTTTGTGTCCCGGTTTTACATAGCTTTTTAACAATATTTCTGTGATATCGCTGCATTCAGTTGTAAGCTGAGATCATCTTATCGGTGTATCAGTAAAGAATGTTAAGGTAGCAAATAACTTGCTTTTCAGGAAGGTGATTTCTGCTTATATTATGCATCACAACACAATGCATGGGATCAAAACCACACAGCATGTAAAATATTCTCTCTTCATTAATTTCCATTAAACCTAATCAAGCATTTTCTTTCATTAAAGCGATACCTGAAGACACAATAACAAGATCTTGGATAATATATCTATTTTGAAGCCTTACTTAAAGACACCACTTTGCAAATTCGTAATATATCACTTACTATACAATACATTAAGTATCTAGAGGCCCCCAAATGTTTTCTTCCCTTTCAGCCTCCTTCATATTGAACATTCTTGCCAGTTCATTTGACATGGTTTCTATCATCTAGCGGTCAACAGTTTCCCGCACAACTGCCCACCAAACATTGAGAGGAACCGCACCTTAAATAAAGCAGAACATAAACTTTTTTTAATGTTAATTTTAACACTACTAATTTTCAAAATTTGTGATGCGCTGCAAGTCACCAAATGACAAATTAATTGTCAACTGGACCTCAAATAACATGATCTGCCAAGAAAAACTGTTTGAATTGACAAATTAAAAGACCTTTCCTCATATATTTACAGCCTAAGTGACTTGTGCCTTTTTGTTTGTCCCCTCCACCGAGTGTAATGGGGCACATTATCATTGTTGTTTTTTAAACACAAGTTTATACAGTATGAACAGAATAATTTTTGATATTATAATAACAGCGCAATTCCTGGATTTTGTGGGTACTAGTCATTTTCCTGGTATTTTGAAAGCTGCCAGCATTTTGATTATTGAATCGACTGTCTTTGTCTTAATAATCAATGTTGAAAACGAGGCCAACTGCCCATGTCTTGTGCTCATGGCTATTATAAGCATATCTAAATAATAACATAACTGTTTCAATATGAATCAAAAAAAATTAAAACAAAGCCAGTTTTTAATTCCGAAAGTAATGCAGTAAAGTGTTTGTCCACTGTGCAATATTTTCCCACATAAGTATAGCAGAATGATAATACATTATCATCAAGTGCTAACCACAGACCATTATGTTATTTTGCATTTAAGCCAGTGGATATGAGGTATACTTTTTCAGTTACTAATGGTGCAATAATTACATGACTAACACTATGCTTACCACAGATGACAGCTTTGTCTGATCTCCCAGAAAACTATCGAATGTTTCCATCTGCTAAGGAGAACGAATAGGGAATGAGATATCTTCAGGAAGCTGCAGCGGTTGGTCATCTGCTGCTGACCTTGACATCAATTGCTACATCATCCTCTTAATTTCACGATTCTCCTCCCGCATTGTCTCCAAGACTCGGAGAATCTGTGTAACAGCAGCTTCAAAAAAGGATTCATAATTTTAGGCTTTATACTTTTAGAGCTATGTGAATTACAAATGAAAAAAAATCCAGTATTTTTAATTTTTCCTTGGCTTTAACAGTAATTAACACTAAAATCTCAAAAGGATTGTTGAGTGTGCAAGGTCACAAAATGTGAAAATGATAAGAAATCATGAATTAAACTTAAAATATTTTTGAGCTAGGCATGTCATGGGGTGAAAATAAGCATTTTTGACTATTCCAAGGACAGTAACTTTGGATAACAGTTGTGGGGTCAGACAAGAATAGGCGAACATTAATTCACATCATGATAAAGACTAACACAAGTAATCATCAATTTCTTTTTAGGGGCGTCATAAGGTGAAACTTTCCATTTTTGGCTGTGTCACTCAATCCAGCTTGTTACAACATTTATTGGCTTGTTTTGAGGATAGAACATTTAATAAGTATGTACTGTAATGAATATATTTACAGCTCCGAAGTTTATACTTACTGGGCCCAATAATCTGCCCACGGGAGGGCGTATCAGAAGCACCTTGTATTAGAGAAGCAGTCTTTGCACATCACTTCTGGCCTCTCGCAATGCCTGTGCAGATAAGCAAGGCGGAGGTGAAAGCAGGCTTTGTGCCTGTTTGGCGTTGTTGCTTTGTCAATAACTTGTGATGGCCTACTCTCTGTGTCTGTCTCATTCTCATCAGTGTCACTATCCGATTCATACAGCCTTTTTGATGGCCTATTGACAATAAAATGAAAATACATTAATAAGTAGTTAAAAAATACATATACATTAAGTGAGTTATTGCACCAAGTGACAATATGATTATGACCTGTACACGGCTGACAAACATGTATTAGTCTATGTTTACGTACCGAATTGTTGTGCCGCAATTTTTTCTACCAAGGATTTTTAGCACGAATGCGCTCGTTTCCTGATGGGATTATTTCATGAACAGGAAGGGCTAGAGACTTGGAGTTGGTCTCATTTGGAAGCTTAATACAAATGTGAAATAATGATAAAAGATTTTTTAATTGTCTGGACAATTGTTTTCACAACGGCCTGGGTAGTGAATCCCTTGCTCGTAGGCTCGAATCTAGAGTTTCCAGCCTTCTCTTAACTTATAGTATGTTTTTAAAGGGGGTCATAATTTACATTTTTTTTGGTTTTCGAATTTTTTAAGATGAACACAGGTTTAATTATCTATCAGGTCATATTTTTTCTTCTCAGGTCCGATACTCATGCCTGTGCAACAGCTAGAGGGCTTGGTTGGTACTTGGAAAAAATACTTGAATTTGTAAAAATAAGTATTTGTATTTAATATTTTAAAATGCTTATGAATGAAATGTTGGTACAAAATGGAAGGGACTTCTAAGGCTAGGGGGGGACACTGGATTTCAAATGATGGTGTCCCTTTAAAAAGAGATCTCTTAAAATTTAGTCTAGATAGAAACAATATTTTTAAAATGTTAGTGTTGACTCCGTCACAGTTAAGTAATTCAACAATAACAACTATACACATGCATAGGTCACCTAAAGTGCCTAAGAGTCAGGGCGTAAATTCTAGAAAATGTCGCAAATTAAACGACTATTGGGAAATTACATGACAAAGGCAAAACCAAAAACTAAACAGCGTTTACAGCTTACCTACACACACAATAAACATGTTAGGATATAATATGAAAAGTCGTTATACGAAATCGTGGTTAAATGCTCGGAATCGAAAAGAAATATTTTTTTCATGTACAATTTTACAATTTAACATTTCAATACACAATTTGATTTTAAGCGGCAGCGGAAATCACGTCTGCACATGCTCGAAATAAATTTTTTCATCAAAAACTGATTTTTATAAATTATTTCTGAATTTATAGTCTAAAAACACATTTTTATATTTAAATAATAAAAATTAAAACCAATATAAAAACGTAACAAATTAATTTCACGCACCTGCTCAGGCATGCTAATATTTATCGGGTTGCCCAAATGGGACCCATATGGGTCCCTCATGGCTTGTTGCCTGCTGCACAGTAAATGGGCCAATTTTTCAAAAATATATGTAATGCAGGCTATTTCAAAAAATATATTGCATTTTCTATTATTTTTTGTGTTTTTACAAAGGACTTATTGTAAAGCAAATGTGCCCAAAAATTTTTTGGGATATCATTACACAAAATAAAGATACAGACATTTTTATACCCTAAAAATGTCCAATTTTACATGTAATGTGTTAGCATCTGTTTTTTTGGTGTTTTTAGAATTAACACCACTATTATCTGTTTTAATTTATCACTTAAATTTTTTTACATGCACATAGAAAATTTAATAACCTTTCCAGTGATATATAATACTTGGTATACATCATCCTGGTTTTTATCGTTAAGATGATTTTAGTAAAATCAGACTTTTGTAATGCATCAGTTTTTTTCAAAATTCAGTTGTTAAGTAAACTAGTATACCTTTAAGCAGTTACAAATAAAATAGTACTTAATTGTCTCAATCTAATGAAATATGAATTAAAAACATATGTTAAGTGCTTTCAATTCAAATTTTCAAACATTTTTACCATAGTAGGCATTATAGTGGTAAAAAAAAATTTGTGATGAAAAAACTGTAACATCCGTCCCCCTCTCATAAAATATCCAATTTTAAAACAATACTCATAAAAAACAATGTTTCTGGTGCTTTAAATGATAGCCTTACAATGAAAATGTTACAAAAATTGCCAATTTCTATGTTTATGAGAAAAGAAATACAATAATGTAAAAGTTGTCTGTAACATCCGTCCCCGCAACATCCGTCCCCCTATATAAGGTGCTTATTAAATCTCATATAAACTGTAACTGAAAAGGGAATTTTACACTAAAACACCAAAGTTACATTGAAAAATGAAGAAAAAACAGAAATAAAGCACTGAAATGATGTATTTATGGAGAAAAAAAATATTTGTGAACACTAAATTCCTTAATTTTGAAAAAAAATCAGTATTTTTTGCTCTGAAATCAAAATTATTTACTTTCAAATAAAATTTATATGTTATTTTTTAACCTCAAGTGGACCAATGAGTTTATTAAGATAATATTTAAGCTTATATGAATTTATAACAAATATAATCTTTTGTCATCCTGTGTTTACAAACTAAGAGTACAGAAGGGGACGGATGTTACAGAATTGAACTAAAAATTCTTTTTACAGTAATACAAAACTTATCTTGTTCTTATGATGCATGATAGAGAAGTAGTAAGCTTTGCAACTGTATAGGAATGTTTCACACAACAAATAAAATACAATTTAAAAAAAATTAGAAGAAACAAACACAAAATCCATAACAGGATATATAGAAAAAGGTGCAAACGATAGAGATGTTGAAAGTATCTTTGTGATTAAAATTGGTCAATTGTTTAAACATAAATTCTTTAGCCTTAAATAGTTTACAAACCATGTATCCCAGCCCCTCATAAAACAGTGGGATATGGATCCTAACTCTATACACACAGAAGGGACTGGCACTTTATCTGTATATTGGGAGCTGTGTATATTGTATATTGGGAAGTGTGATATATCGTATTACAAAACAGTAGGGGTGCCAATTAAGGGTGATATATATTATGCTTAAGAACAGTGGGAGGGACTACCTATCTTATTCAAGAATGTCTGTCATTAAGTATTAAAGTTGAAGATCAATTTAGTCAAAGGATTTATTGAACTTCAAAAATTTATAGGCTAAATATGTAGTCAATGAAAAATAAACAAAGAAATATAATTCAACACCCAGATTAAAATTTTTAAATTTTTTTCCCCAAAAAAATCTCAAGCACATTTTCATACAATTTGACCCATTTAATTTTTGTTAATAAAGTGAAAGAAACTTGTAAGTAAAGGATTCCTGTAATGAAAAAGTTGGGATAATTGTGAAAATTATTCTGTAAAAATTATTTTGCACCTATAAATTTTATTGAATGACAAATTAGTTTATATAATAAGTTAAGCAGTTCATGTACACTGAAATATTTACACAGAGAATTATTAAAAGTTAGAAATAATGAGATTATGATACTGAATCATAATGAAATCTTTGGATAATGCTGCTAACATTCCATATTAATTTACTTAAAATTTCATCAAATTGATAGAACTTAATTGCAACAATTTAAAATCTTATAATTTTTAATGAAAATTTTTAATTATTTAGTAATGAGAAATTCAAGCTTGCATTATGTTTCAGTCTGAAAACTTCTTATTTACTTCACACTGTATCATATCTTTTACAAATATATATCTTATTTTTTAACTTAAGTAATTTGTAAATAATTTTATGTATAGAAAGGTACCGTTGGTATGACATTATCTCTTTAACGTTAATGCATTATCTGGAAACAAAGATTCTTTTATTTAATTAGCAATGTTTTTATTATATTCCAAACATTTCAATGTTCATTCAAATGTAAGATAAATAGAAGAAAACTAAGTCAATGCAACTTTTCATTGTGAAACACAAATAGTAAGAAACTACATAATTGTCAGGTATATTTCTACATTTTTTCCATAATTTGTTCAATTGTTTTACATTTATTGTACTGTACAAAGCATATACTCTTATAAATTTCATTACTTTAAAATAAAACCAAAAAAAAGTATGAACTAAGAGCTTTAAACATCGATTGTAACGTCCGTCCCCCCAAAAATGTAACATCCGTCCCCCTGATACAATTCATTTTTGGATTATCTGACAAGAAATATACATAACAAAGTCCTATAATTTCTACTGTTTTATAAGAAATGTGTTTGCATATTTGATTTAAGTATGATTTGGTGTACCTATCCTTGTTTTTTTCTTTCTGTTTCTAACATGTTTGAAAATTTAATTTTGTGTGAAAAATACTGAAAATTTGAAAGCAAATATTTTTATATCCAAGATGAATTCTCTGGATTTTTTTTGTAACATTTATCAGAAGACATAATATTTTAATAAAATAAAGAGAAATAATACAATTTTTATTATAAACTGTAAGATATTCAGACTTTTAGTATATCTTTGTAACATCCGTCCCCTACCCGCACAGTCCGCAAGAGATGTAATATTTTGAAAAAGGTATTCAAAAAGTTATCCTTTCATTCCAAAAATATTGTTATAGACACCCTAAGGTACTTAAAAAGAGCAAATATTGTCTTGTATGTTTAACTTTAATTTTTGACTTAGATGCTAACACAATTGGCCCATTTACTGTGCAGCAGGCATTGTATAAATGTTTCAAATAATGCTACGATTTTATATAGGATAATAGCAATTTATGCCAAGGTGGTCACACTATAGCTCAAAGTAAACGAGTTCTAAAGAAATAAATAAAAGAAAAATTGTTTTTCCTTAAAGTGCTGGAATATGGTACCCATATAGGTCTAATATATAGGCGTACCCAAATGGACTTGCCAATATTGGATCCATATAGGTCCGATATGGGCATACCCATTAGCTTGCCTAGATATAGCCCATATAGGTCCCATATATGCATGTTTGCTGGGTATGTATTATTCAGTACAGTACCTCCAAAATCTGCATATTCTGCACATATGTCAATAAGTATACACATTGTGACAATAAGAAATATTTAAGGTTAAATGTGGTAAATACTCTGTGATTACTTCTCACATTTACTTGATATTAATAACCAATACTCGTTACATTAAAAAGCATACTAGTGACACCGGCGAGCAACTCCAAAGCAATACTCGGTAAACTGACATGTTTATTTATTCTCAAAATGCACTGTCATCTGAAATTTTATTGTTGTCAGATTGAACGTTTACCTTGAATTTACCTTTGTTCATAGTCTTGAAATGGGATAAAAGTCCTCGTAATATCGAGCAATATCCGGCGGTAAAGTTGCTCTATGTTGAATTATCTTTGTTTCATGTGTCGTTTTACGTTTTCATGTCATAATTTATATACCTTTTCTAATTGAAATTGTTATTTGATGAAAGTGTGTGAGGGAAGAATTTACAGTTCATAAATGTTTAAGCTACTGGTTGGGGACCACCAAAACCGGACAACCACCAAACCCGGACAGCCCTGAAAATGCTTAATTTAGTATTTTCTTTGTTCAGTGGTTGTCACTTTTTTTATCAACAATAAATGCATGTTTCATTCTAAAAATAAATAAATAAATTTATTTCAACCACCGTAAATGGTAATATAATTTTAATGGCTATTTCAAGAATGTTGACGTTGAAATTTGGGGGGTCAAGAAAACAATGCCTGACCTCATATACCATCTATAATCATTTGAAGAGTAAACAATAGAATTTCCAAAACTTCAGCATTTGTTTCTGAATCATTGTCTATCATGTTAAAAATTAAAACACCCAAGCTGTTATCTGAATTAAATAACATCATGTACATAAATGTCCGGACACATGGTGCTGTAGTGTAGACAATTGAGGTAATTTTGATACCTCCTCGTCGAGCCTCAGATATAAAAGTCAATACAATCAGACAAACAAGTTTGTTAGTTAGGGGAAGAACCTAGCTGAACCTTGTCAATTGTTTTGGTCTCTAAGTTAAAACTTATAAAACCTGTACAGAAAAATGTTCAAAAAGTGTCAGCGGTTGATGGTCCCTGACCCTGTTGTATTAATCACAACATCTCATCTTAACAAAGATAATAAAACATACAGATCTTTTCAATTATTTTTAGTATATGTGATCTACCGCTGGATGTTCATCAACTAAAGTGATTTCTTTTTTGTTGCGGACCGAGTTGGTTTAGGGCCGAGTGGACACTTATCTTATACCTCTTCGTACACATTGATAAGATAAGTTTTGTTTCAAGTCGGCAAGTTTTCAACAGTACAACATAAGCTCTAGGAGCTTTTATAACCGACTGTATATAAACATAAAGTATAAGATCAACAAAGATAAAACAGCTACAATAAAAAAATGATTAGACATGATAAATATACATGATACATCACATACATAAAATAGACCTTTTTAGATATTTTTATAAAAATGAATCAGATGGTAAAAAACTAAATGATAGTCAGTGTTCCCATTCACGCACAAATGTGAATTCCGTATAATTTACAAAAATCACGCATGAAATTACAACTAGGTGCGTGCATGCACGTATGAAAATTGAAGTAAAACTGCCAAAAAATTATCCGCAAATTCGAAGCACAAATCAATAATCTACTCACAAATCTCTGAAATTGTTTACAAGACCGTAATTTAATCCGAGGTCATAACTTGGGTTTCCCAGCTGTGCTATTTTTTAGCTCATGGACTGGTTTATAATTATTAACGACGGCTTCGCACGCTTTGCTCATTCTGGGACAATTTATTTTGTTTATTAGTCAAAATCGCTGTATGAGTATCCGATACTTACAATTTCTTCAAAACAGCATGATATTTGTGTTAAATAACGAAGTCGAAACTGCATTTCAATCTGCTTGAATAAAAATGGCGTCGTTGAAGAGCCAATCACGTGATCCACTCGCGCATTTATATAATTTCTGCGTACAGTACAAATTTAAACTAAATTGTAATTTTAATTTTCAATACTTTAATACAATTATAAATGTATGACAACCCCTTCTATATTCAATGCATGAATGGATTTTCTAACTTGTAACCGAACATACGGAACTATTTTTTTTGTCAACGAAATTCGGTTGGCAGTAAGAAATAGTCCGGTAGATGGGTGGTTATACCTTTGTGTCGATTTACAATCGACACAAAAAGGACTTTTTCATGTCTAATAATTAATAAAGAGTGAGAACAATGATATTTTTTTTAGTTAAACAAAGGGCATTTTCAAATAGGTATTGAGAATTTGCTACCCCGTTGTTTTCTTGAGTAAGAAATTTTTCACGCATTGCTTCGTACTTACTTCAATAAAGACTTATATAACGAAGCTTATAGCTCTATGGTTTCAAGGACAGATTCGAGACGGTGTCTTTTTTACGCGAGCAAACTTAAATAAATTCTGTATAAAAAGTTTCCCCAAAAGTTTCCCGATTCATAGCGTTAAACCTCCGTGGGCGAGGGGTTAGAGTCGATGACTTCTTATCCAGTTACCTCTCTGGTATGGGTTCGATCCCCGGGAGATGCTTTGGTAGTTAAGCACGGAGGAAGGTAGTCTAGTACTGGTGTAACTCTCCAGGAACGATTGTTAGGAAACTACCGCCTATTTTACTGAAATACTGTTCGGAAAAGGCGTAAAATGAAACAAACAAACAAACAGTTCAGTATACCATATATGAAAAATAACATTTTCCGGCGTTACCACGAAGCACTATATTCTCGTATATCAGCGTTACCTCATAAAAACGACTTGAATCACATTTAATCGGCTTATTTCAATTTTCTATATCACCAGAATTTTAGTAAATGTCACTTGCCTACCTAAAATCGAAATTATACGGTATAATATGCATTGTTGTACTTACACGAGTTGACAAAATGCCAAAATCTCGCTCAAAACGGTAGTCAAGTCATCATTTTCACGAATGATCTTGAAAAGTAAACAATTTCGTGGAAATAATCCTGATGAGGGATAAAGAGTTATGTCAACAATTTCGTGGAAATAATCCTGATGAGGGATAAAGAGTTATGTCTTTGCAGCCGTATGCAGCTGTTCATTTTTTTCAGTTCGGTTAAATAAAAAATATATTGGCCAGTTTATTTACCGCGTTGGAAATCCTGTCAGGTAGCATGATCACTTTTAGCGGATATATGGAATTTCTTTTAAATAAATGATTCAGCGCAACAGTTTTCACGACTGCATAAGCACGCTATCGTACGGTGTTTCGTTAGGACCCCCTGCGCCTGGAGAAAAGGGAATAATTGACGTGGTTTATAAGGGTGCAAAGGTCAAAGAACAATAGATTTTGGGGCAGACGAAATCGATTGTTAGACACGTGACAAAAAACCCAACAGTATATTATATGATGGTGACAGTAGAAAAGTAAAAGATGGGACATTACGAAGTAGATGGTGAGTTAACATACGATGGGGAGAATACAGTGCCTGGTGGGCAGAGAATTGATTTTGGCCCATAAGGACAAATCATGGGAAATATGAGGTTGCATTGAGTCATATGATGTAAAAAAAGTTCTGTGAAGATAGGTCAAACGAAAGTACTGGTGAATATAAATTACATAACGACATAGAGGTGACGTATAATTTTTTTACCAGTAGATGGTGGGAAATGATATAGCAGCTAGCTCGTTTTTGCGACATGATGAATTTGGCTATTTATAGAGACATAATATACCCACAGGGGGAAGACGCTGTGATCTGACATTATCCCGGGCCCCCTCCCCCCGAAGGCCCTGCTACAACCCATAAAAAATATCAATGCAAGTTGATTTGCACAATAAAAATTCATAAAAACAATATTCTGACACGTTTCGACGATTTTCATTATACCCCTATACTATATATTATAACAAGGGTACCGTCTTCTGTGCGCTTCCAGCGCTTTGATACTGCCCAAGTTCATATCTATCGTCGAAACTCAGCCAAAACTCAATATAATTTTAAAAACATGGTCTCGATCAACGCAGCATTGATAAATGTATGTAAATAACAACAGTCAATTTTGGAAATGTTGGCAACTTATTTTGATACAACTCCCGAAATTGCCGGTGACTTGAAATCTGACAAGATCTGATTCACGTAAACATTGAAATGTTCACGACTGAATTGCATCAGAAACGCTAAGATGCGTAGAAAATTTAATTGCATCTGTTAAAACAAAATATTCAATAAACATTACCACAAAAATACACTCCGAATATATTTCCTATCGTGGCGTAACGATCAAAGTATAATCCGATATTCCAGTCTTTTCTCATGCCTCCATTACACAAACTTGACCCGGAAACGGTAATGCACAACTCTGTATGGTTCTCGTCCTCGCTTATACGACGGCGTACGATTCGGTACCAGTACTTTGTAAACATAAACACGTGTAAATATAGCGCCAATTTCGAAAGTTTGTCTAGAACTGTTTT